ACTCAAAAGGTGAAGAAAAGTAGTTCATTTATCTATAGTTTTACTTTTTCCATTCTTCTATTTTCCTGATCGTTACTGTTTGTTTAAAATTTTGGTTTTGTTTTATAATTCTCTTTTTGTTTAGAGAACATTCTTTAGCCATTTATTGAGAGCAGACCTGCTGGCAATAAATTTTCTGGCTTTGTTTTTTTTACTTTTATTTTATTTATTTATTTATTTATTTTGAGACAGGGTCTTGCTCTGTAGCCCAGGCTGAAGTGCAATGGTATGATCTAGGCTCACTGTAACCTCTGCCTCCCGGGTTCAAGCAATTCTCCTGTCTTAGCCTCCGAAGCAGTTGGGACCACAAGCGCATGCCACCATGCCCAGCTAATTTTTGTCTTTTTAGTAGAGATGCCATTTTACCATATGGGTCAGGCTGGTCTTGAACTTCTGACCTTGGGTGATCTGCTTGCCTCAGCCTCCCAAAGTATTGGGATTATAGGTGTGAGCCACCGCACCCAGCCATAAATTTTCTTAGTTTTCTTTCATCTAAGAATATTTTCATTTCACCTTGATTCCTAAAGGATATTTTCACTGGATGTAGAATTCTGGGTTAATTCTTTTCTTTCAGCACTAGAAAAATGCTATACCACTTCCTTTCGGCCCTTGTTGTTTCTGATGACAAATATGCTGTCATTTTACTTGTTTCACTAACATATGTAGGGTGTCATTTCTCATTGCTTTCAACATTTTTCTGGTTTTAGTTTTCCTAAGTTTAATTATGAATGTATCTTACTGTGGTTTTCATTGGGTTCTGCTTAGGTTCAGCCAGCTTATTGAATCTGTAGGTTTATTTCTTTTGCCAATTCAGAAAATTTTAAGCATTAGTTCTTCAAATGTTTTCTTTTCATTCCCATCCACTTTCATTCCTCCAATGAAATAAATATTAGCTCTTCTGTTATTGTTCCAAATGCCCCCAAAGCCCTGTTTGTTTTCTTCTCCTAGTTGATTTTCTCTCTGTTGTTCGGATTAGGTAACTTCTATTTTCAAGTTCACTGATTCTTTCCTCTCCTCACTCTCTTTGCTGATACCAGTTAGGCTGGGAGGGATAGGACTATCTCACTGTTGTTCCCAAACTGGCCTCTCTGACTCCATTGGGAGAGGGTGGGCTCTTTACCACTGGATGGTGGTAAAAATCCTGATTCTCCAGTAAACCGCCTCTGATACCACACCAGTGGGGAGGAAGAGGGTGTTTCATTACTGCAAGGTGAGGTGGAAGTCCTGAGTTCCCTCAAGTGGTCTCCAGTAAATCTATGTGGAAAAGCAAGGAATCTCCTTATTGCCTGGCTGCAAAGTGCTAGCTCTACACTTAGCCTTTTCTGACATCACCCATCAGGAAGGATTCAGCTCCTAATCACACACCAGCCTGTCAAGAATAGAAGTGTAACCTTCTACCCTTGGGGTGTGAGGTCACGTTTTTCTGTGCTGTTGCTGGAGTAGATGGTTGTTGAATAAAAGTTTTCTGTCTTGTAGGGTGCCCCTTTCCTGATCTTTTGGCTAGAGAGAGCAGGCTTCTATTAGGGCTTGACTCACTTGGTATTTCTGGGTTGCTAGCTCTTTAGCTCCAAGTCTGGGATACCTCACATCGTCATCCCAGCACTTTGGATCACCTGAGGTCAGGAGTTTGAGACCAGCCTGGATAACATGGTGAAACCCTGTCTCTACTAAAAATACAAAAATTAGGCATGTGTGGTGGCAGGCGCCTGTAATCCCAACTACTCAGGAGGCTGAGGCAGGAGAATGGTGGCTTGAACCTGAGAGGCGGAGGTTGCAGTGAGCTGAGATTGTGCCACTGCACTCCAGCCTAGGTGACAGAGCAAGACTCCATCTCAAAAAAACAAACAAACAAAAAAAATGAAAGGGAACTCACCACCCGGTATTCCTTTGATCCCATGCTCTCTACCCAGTCTTATTTGCTCTTCCTTTCAAAATTTTCTTACGTTTGTTTTCTATACAATGCCCAAGGTTTATAAATCCATGCTTTATTTTTTAATGTTCTTTTAAATTTCTAGTATTTCTTCAATTTCCCCAAAACCATATATATATATTTATTTTATTTTCTGCATGAGTGTGTGCATGCACACACACACTGGTTCTAATGCGATTTAACTTGCTTTTCCATGTAAGATGTCCTAAAAAGAAATTTTACAGAATGAAAAACACATGAAAATTCAGTAACCAGTATATATAATTTAGGCTAAAATATAAATGATATGTATCTAATCACTTAATATATGTGAAATTTGATAATTGCAGACTAAATCCCATAATTGTCATAAGCCACATTTTTGTATAATTTTCTACTAAGCCTTAGGCAAATGAAACATTGGCCTCACATCAGCTAAAAGCTAAGTTATAAAAAAGTAGGCAAATCACTACATTCTGTTGCAAGCCAGCCATAGTTTTGGAGGCCAGCATCCCACTAACCATCAAGATATCCAACTTCCCCTTTTCTAATATATCGAATCAGTCTTGAACAAAATTATTGGTACATTGTTTTCCAAGAATCTGAGTTTCACAGATTATTCTGTACCAGAAACCACCATTATCCTTCCCTTTTCTTAGCACAATTCTTCTTTACTAATGGGACATAATTTGAAAGGCAATTTATTGCAAAAGCTAAGTAAAAAATCCTGAGTTTATAGCTCGCATCTATTTTTATAACCATGTTTAAACTCCTCTGTAATAACCACAGATAATAATGATGACAATGGTAGCAGTAACAACAGTCATCGCTAATTAGTACTAGCCCAAGTACTTTGGTTTCTCTGTCTCCTCTAATTCTTACAACAGTCTGACAAGGTAGGTACAATTCATAATATTCATGTCCTCCTTTTATAGTTATAAAAAACTGAGATGCAAAGAGGTAAACTCAAGTTCCCAAGGTCAAACAGCTTGTAAATGATGGAAACAATATGGCCTTTAGTTGAGCTCTTAATCAGTATGTTTCTTGACTCTCAAAAAAAGACTACTTCTTTTATCCTTATCTTTAAAAAGCATTTGCCATTAATATGAAGACAGATAGATGGGTTGTCACCTCCCTCTGGCTGGCAAATAGCACAGAACCTCTAGTTCACTTATCTCAGAATTCTTCCTAGGTAGGTTCTCAAAGAAGGTATTTTATTTTTTTTAATTTTCACACAGAGTCTTGCTCTGTTACCCAAGCTGTTATTGCAGTGGTGTGATCTTGTCTCCCTGCAACCTTCACCTCCCAGGTTCATGCAATTCTCCTGCCTCAGCCTCTCAAGTGGCTGGGACTACAGGTGTGTATCACTATGCCTGGCTAATTTTTGTGTTTTTTAGTAGAGACAGAGTTTTGCCATGTTGTCAGTCTGGTCTAGAATTTGTGATCTCAGGTGATGTGCCTGCCTCGGCCTCCCAAAATGCTGGGATTACAGGCATAAGCGACTGTGCCCGGCTGTCAAAGAGGGTGTTCTGAGATCCAAGCCTTTTCTCTAACTCTCATGTGTTTAGAAAAATCATACTGCTTTATTTTCATTGTTTTTTTCTAATTATAAAACATATGGTAAATATGGCAGGCTTGGTGACTCACACGAATAATCCCAGCACTTTGGGAGGCTGAGGTGGGAGGATCACTTAAGCCCAGGAGACAGAGGCTGCAGTGAGCTATGATCACAACACTGCACTCTGGCCCAGGCAATAGAGTGAGAACCCATCTCAGGAAGGGAAATAAAAGTAAATAAACAAATAAATGTGTGTGTATGCACCCACACACAAAGTATAAAAAATTCACAACCCACACCAATGTAAAATGTGGTTAGAAAGTAAATTCTTTACTTAACTCAAACCCAACTGTTCATAGATACTTCTAGAATTTTTCTGTCTCTAGAACTAGATCTACATATTAATAGAAACAAATGTACACATAGAATATACGTAGGATATGTGTGTATACATGCATATTTTGCAAAAGTGAGATACTTCTCATAGTTTTCTGCAATGTCCTTCCCTTTGTTACTGTTGATTTAACAGTAGATCAATTTCGATCTATGTGAGTACAGTAGATGAATCTGCAGCTTGATTTTTTAAATAATTTCATCAGTCATTTTCTTTTTCTTTCTTAATGGTACATGAAGACATGGTGGATCTCAATGATGGGATAATAAAGTCAAACTACAGCATTTAAAAACTGACTACTGTTGGCTAGGAACACCACATTATCTTAGATTATCCAGAATGGTTTCAAATGTAGATATTTTTTTCCTTTTCAGAAAACATTGTTAAATGTTTAATTACATAGCATTTACATTTTATAAATCTGAAAGACATTCCTGTCTGTCATTCTCAAACCTTAATCCATATACCTGGCACCATGTAAAAATATTAACTTAAAATGCATGGCAGACCTAAACACAAAATGCAAAAAAGGAAAATATTTATGACTTGTGTTAGGCAAAGATTTCCTAACTACTACAGCAGAAGCACAATTGACTAAAAAGAAAACTGATAAATCAGACTTCATCAAAATTAAGAATTCTTGCTCTTTGAAAGACACAGTTGAGACAATGAAAATAAAAGCCAGACTTGGAGAAAATGCATGCAAATCACAAATATGATAAAGGCATTGTATCCAGAATATATAAATAAGTCTTAATAAGAACACTGCAATTCAATTAAGAAAAAAAAAGCAATGTATTTACTATTTTAATGGTTAAATATGTTCTTTAAATATTATGTCATAATTTCTATATACCATAATTTAGTTGTCTAAATCTTTATGGAAATAACCTTGTTCTTCCTCAAACTGTTCAGATTCAGCAAGTAGGATGATAATAATTAATTACCTTTTTATGCAAAACTTATTAAACCTTATTAAAAAATACCATCAGTGGGTGATCATTCCCTTAAATGTAGTTTATATTGGTAGCTGCTAGACAGAGGGAAGGAAGGGAAAAGAAAGAGAGAGAGATTTAGGTAGAAATAATGGTATACTTTACTCTATAAAATAGACTTCTCCATTTTCGGTATAGGCCATCTCCCAGTTTTCAGGTAGAGGACCTAAATTATCCTCTGCAGAAAGAGGTAGGTATTGAGGGAACTTCTGAGAAGGGTCCGTGATGGGAGCAGCGATGATGCTACTATTCACAGGTGGTAGTGCCGTTTCTTGGAGAGTGTGCTCGTCTTGTTCACCAGAATCGGCTGCTTAATCATGTGAAGAGATGAGAGAGAGAGGGGGGGTGGGGAGGGGGAGAGGGAGAGAGGGAGGGAGGGGGGGAGAGAGAGAGAGAGAGAGAGAGAGGAAAAAAAAAAAAAAGGTATTCAGCAATCATACCCCATACCTGGGAAGTACATTCCTATATACATCTACATTCTTAAACACTTTTATCCATTCCTAATTCCTGGCCATTAACTATGACTTCTATCTTATTTAGATGTCTGTCCCTTAATTAGAAAGCATCAAAATAATCGATGAAATTCATTTTACTTAAAAAGAAAGGGAAAAAAAATCCCAAATAATGCATTGTTCACAATCTTGGAAATGTCAAAGAATAACCCAATTTATGACTCAAACTCTTAAACTAAGAAGGCCATCAAAACACAAATGGATCTGCACCCTCATTCCATAGGTAACATTTGATTTCATTATTCAGAAGATGTTTGAGCACACACACAAAAAAGTATTCAGGGTGAAAACACAGATAAAGTGGCATTATTACCCATTCTTGTACAAATGATTTTATAAGTTATTTTAAAATTTGTATAAATATTTTTGGTAGACACTGGCAAAGATCAAAGAATGATAAATTCACCTGAAAAGTATACAAATACAAAAAAAGTAAAAAAAAAGTATAATCTTTACTTAGAATATGGAGACAGTTATACCAGTGAGTCAGATTTGAACCTCTTCTGGAAAAGTTATGTTCCTATGAAAACCAAGACAGTTACCCTCAGAACAGTATCAAGTGGGCGGACTGATTTGACTTGAATCTTAAAAGAAGGCTTGAAGTACTTGAGTCTCCTTGCCTTCTTATTAACTAGAAACATCAGAGGTGATGTCATCAAAGTATCCCCAAACGGCATTGTTGACATTCTGGTTGAATTTTTATAGAGGCTGATGATATTAACTGTCAATCTCCATGGGGCTTTAAAGCTTAATAATGAGGGTATGCAGTGAATTTCTATCTTCCACAGTAATTCTCCTGTAGACATTTCTGAGTTAGTGAAAACAGACTGAAGAATGATAAAAGGCTGTTTTCAAAGCTTTCTCTGATGAGAAGCTCCCAATGACACACATGGGAGTAAAGGTAATCTAAAAGCTGGATGAAGGACATGCCAAGCCTGCTAAACCACCACCAAAAATGCACCACCCTTGGGGAGGCTGGCTGTAGGTATTCCCAGCCCTGCATCTATTTGCTCTTCTCCTGGTAGCACCATTCAGGTATCCTTGTGGTGCCCCCCTCCACTCCAGGCCCACATGGTCCAGGTGGGGACCTACTCCTGGCTCCACATCATATGCTTTGCCAGTGAGGAGTATTCTATCATTTTTATCTTTGTTATTAGGTCAGGAATAGGTACTTGATCTAAGGCAAACAAATTTGAATGTTAGACATAGAAGATTTACTGGAATTATCAAGCAAGAGGTGGTCACTTGAGGCTGGAACCTATTTGCTAATAGGTTCTCACGCTGTAGGTGTTGGCAGACATCTTGACATAGCTTGACATGAACTGCCAGGGAATGAAATCCACACAGAGAAGAGGAGAGGTGAAAGACGGAGAGTCATTTAATATCCCTGGCTGAGCATCTGATCTCTGATTTCATACCTGAAATCAAGGACACCCCTCGTTTTGATAGCTTGAACCCCTAAATTCACTTTCTTGCTTAAACCAATTTGAGTTAGTTTTGCAACCTGCATCCAAGAGTGCAGAGTAATAGATCAACTGTAACTAGGGGAACAGAAAAAAATTAGACCAACACAGAAGAAAAACTTTGAAATTACTCATCAATAGCAAAATAAATTCAAAACCGGTCAAGAATTAAGAGTCACTTTTAATTCTCTAGGAGCCAACAAATATTCATTTCTGGCATATCTTTGGAAGGTAGACTTTTCACACTTAGGTGCATAAAAGAATCACCTGGAGAGATTGATAAAATGCATAATTCTGGCTGTCCTCCAGAAAACAGGTTTGGGATATGGTCCCAAAATGCACACTTTACAAGTACCCAGGTGAGAAAGATTCAGGTGCTGTATGAACTACACCCTAAAGACAAAGACACAAAGAGTTCTCTTATGAACTAAAAGAAAAAATGATGTAGAGAATCAATTGTTAAAAAAAGTTCTACTTTCAGTTGGAAATTACTCTACTCCCTTCTTGGTTCATACCTGCCACGTTCCAGAACCACCAGAACCTCTGGCTCCTAGGACAGGTGTTGCCCTGCACTTAATGAGCTGCGAGTGGTACAGTCTCTGGCTATATACTCCTCTGTGCACCAGTGCCAGGTCAGTATGCTAATGAAATGTGTAGTGAGTGGGTCTAGGCTGAAGGGAGGTGGGCACTCAGTGCCAGACGTTTGTGTCCTGGAGGAGAGGCGACTTGCAGTTGCCAAACTTCTGATTTTTCAAGACAAGCTGGAAATCTGTGCTTTTATGTAAACTCTCCCAAGTTTCCAAACATAATTCCTTTAAAAAATAATGCACTGTAACACCACTGAAAAATGAAAGGTCATGATTATGAGCACTGACCCTGGAGCCAAACTGCCCAAGTTTGAATCCTGGCTTTACCATTTACTAACGTGGGCAAAGTACTTAACCATGTGTGCCTTCACTTGCTCATCTAGAAAACTGGGACAATAACAATCCCCACCTCACAGGGTTGTGGGGAGAATTAAATGCATAAGGCATTCAGAACAGCATCTAGCACATAGCAAGCCACACTAAGCAGCCAACAGCAGCAAAAGCACCTCTATCCTCATCAAAATTATGATTACTTGTGTCTTCAGGCCAGACCTCGCCCCCAACCTGCAAATATGTTACCAAAAGGTGGAAAAAGCATAGGTTATAATATCAGACCACAGATTATAGCCTTGTTTGCTTCTATCTATTTGGCTTTGCCTTTCTGAGCACATATTTCTCGATCTGTAAAATGGGCATAACGTACACAGCATGAGAACAGAATTAACACGTGCCAAGTGCCTGGCACCTGAGATGTGCTCAATGGGTGCTTGGGACTGAAACCTCTTATTGGAGATACAACTGTCCAAACTCAGTGACTGCCTTTTCATTTAGGAGGCAGCAAACTGTCAGGATGATAATAATAATGTTAATAAAGAATTTTTATTAACCTATTTTAATAGAAACTGGATATAACAGGAAAAGGGTAGTGCCAATGGGTGAGCCACTACATGTGAAATGAGACGCACTTAATTTAACGATGAATGTACACGTTTACAAAAAAAAAAAAAAAAAGTCCTGCCAGTATTCCTAAACACTGCATGAAGGGAATATAAGTTCTCTGGGAAAATCTCTCAGTAATTTTAATTTCCTGGAGAAAAAAAAAATCCCTCCAGCAACTAGATCTTATTTTAAGTTATCCGAGCTTTTGTTTTTATTTCATATGCTTTCCATATCTTCTTCTCAGCTCAACAGAATCTTAATCTCATTCTCTGAAAGAAAATGGAAAGTCCAAAAATGAGCTGCTGGCACAGACATATGGCAGACTCAGGAATTCACAGCCTTAGTCATGGCTTTGACTTATGCTGTGATTTAAAAAAAAAGAAAATCCTTCTGTTGGGCCATGGTGGCATGTGCCTGTGCCTGTAATCCTAGCTATTCAGGAGGCTGAGGAGGAAGGACTGAGCCCAGGAGTTTGAGACCAGACTAGGCAACATAGCGAGACCACATCTCTAAAAAAAAAAAATTATAAACTAGCTGGGTGAGGTGGCACATGTCCATAGTCCCAGTTACTGTGGAGGCTGAAGTGGGAGAATCACTTTAACCTGGGAGGTTGAAGCTGCAGTGAGCTGTGATCGCACCATTGCACTCCAGCCTGGGTAACAGAATGAGACACTGTCTCAAACAAAACCTTTCATTTAATTTACCAGAGATTTAGGAGCACTGCCACCACTTTCTTACTAAAGGTTGCCAGTGAATGCAAAGAGAACAGGTAGAATGGAATACTGGAACAAGATCGAATGGGGAGACAGGGAACCTGGTTCTCCCACTGTTCAATGGCATAACAGTTACAGTCAGTCCTTCAGGGTTCTCATCTGCAACACTGGGAAGGTAATACCTGGATAGCTTCTCTCTCAAGATTTTCAGGAGGTTTGTGAGATACATGTAAAAATGGTTTGTAAAACATAAATGAATACAAATGATATTTTTATATTAAAATTATTATTACTATGAAAATGATGTTTTCGTAGTAAATCAGAAGCTTCCAAGCAGTTACACACACACACACACACACTCTCTTTCTCTCTCTCTCTCTCTCTCTCAGACTTTTGAAGGTGACTTCAAGAACATAAACCAAGTCAAAGAAAATTTCTGAAGCTCGTTTTATATTATACATGCTTTTAGGTTTATGTGTATCTACCACTGTGCACAACCAGTAATAATCTTTGAGGCTTCATAAAGCTGCTGAACTTGATTTAAAACACAAATAGCACAGTAGGTGTGCACTCAGGCTGTGGAGTCAGGCATTGTGGGTTGCAGTGGCAGCTTTGGCCCTGTCTCACTGGTTTTGTGATACTGGACAAGGTATTTGACCTCTCTGTTATACACATAAAGAGCTTAGCAAAGTGCCTGCCATATAGTCTATACTTGAGAAACATTAGCTCTTACAGAAATGATTATCTCAACAATCCAAAGCAATGCTTTATCACTGTCTATCAACAAAAAAAGATGTGTCAGCAACCTAATGTTTAAGAATATCAGGGATTATTGAAAGAAAAAAGCCTAGAAACATGATTAGGTAATGGTTTGATGTCTCTCAGAGGTGTTCATGATGAACATGTTACTTTTTAGTTGTAGTGATTTGTTACATATTTTATTTCATTTTATTTTTTTTGAGACAGAGTTTCCCTCTGTCGCCCAGGCTGGAGTACAATGGCATGCTCTCAGCTCACTGCAACCTCCACCTCCTGGAATCAGGTAATTCTCCTGCCTCAGCCACCTGAGTAGCTAGGATAACAGGTACCCGCTACCACACTCCGCTAATTTTTGTATTTTTACTAGAGACGGGGTTTCATCATGTTGGCCAGGCTGGTCTCAAATTTCAAACCTCAGGTGATCTGCTCGCCTCAGCCTCCCAAAGTGCTGGGATTACAGGCGTGAGCCACCATACCTGGCCCTTATTACACACTTTCTAAGTTGTCTATAATGAACACAATATTTTTGCAAAAGTCTTTGTATATATAACTGCTTTGGACAACAGTGTAACTCTACCTTCATTAAGCACACATAAGAAGTGTTCTTTCTCAAGGCCTCTTTTAGGTCCATAAATTGGGCACAATTTGTGCTTTGTGTTCAACAGTCAGTTCCATGGTGAGCATCTGGGATGGATGCTCACCGCTCAGCTTCCGCCTTAATCAATCACTGCAGAAAGGAAGGGTGGGCTGCCTTCCCAGGATGCTTCTGGCCAATAGGCTCCCTGATCTTTGGCCTGCAAACACTCCCAGCATTATTTAGGTGTGCTATTGAGGCATACCTTATCCACAAGACTCAAGCAAAAGGCAGCTAAGATAAAAACAGCAGCAAATTATTAAAAATATCCTGGTAAATGTAATTTTTAATGGCTTCATAGCATTTCCACATTTTGATATAATGCTCATGACTTTATCATAGCTGGCCCAAGCAGGAGCCAACACCTCATTATGCCACTGTCACTCTAAGTTTAAAGTGGCTGGTGGATGCCTATTTAACGTGGTTCAGAATACAAAATGCTTTGACACCACTAGTTTCACATACTTATGGACTGGGTAGTGTTAATTACTTGAAAGATTTAGCATGAGTTAGTGTATGACAGATTGTCAGTTGTCACAGGTATAGTGTTATAAGTGAGGGGACAGTCAACATGCTCTGCACATTGTGAAGAGGTCCCATCATGTGCATCTCTCAAGGCCACTTTTTCCTCCATGCATCTTCTTTGTATCAGACAAGAACCTGAATAACACAATCAGGTGCCACTTGGCTTTCTGTTTTGTGCAGAAACTAATCATCAGATCAATTTTGGCAAGGATAACTAGGGCCCACAAATTGTTCTAAGATGCCAGGATTTGAAGTAGGGGTTTTATGGGGTCAGATTTTCTGAGGCGTGGCTTGTAGAGAGGGAGACTGATAGTAGTTAGAAATAGGAAAGGCATCTAGACTTACAGTCAATTACCTCTACTTTGTTCCTCCTTTCTACCAAAAAATCTATTCAATAAATGGAGGACAAATAGAGGCACACAAGCTTCTTAGGGACTACACAATCTGCTTGGCAGAACAGTTTTGCTGCACACTACCCCCAAGGTTTTCCATTTCTGCGACCACAACTATGGTTTAGGTTATACCATGATTTGCTATTCTTATTTATTAAAATATCAAGACATTAAAGTATGAGAAATGTTAACATGTGTTCATGATCTGTTTTCATTTTGGTAAGGGCCACTATAAACAGGTGAAAGATTCCTAAATGAATGAAATCAGCTGATTTCAATTAAAGCATAGGTAAAAGGTGGCAAATTTCTTCCAGATATTACAACTATAGGGCAGGCGCTGGTCTAACCCATTCTAATTGAGAAAACGGAAATTTTCATGGAGTCAAATTCACACAGTTAGAAGGAGAAACTCAGAAATAATCTAATCCTAGCTAGTCATTTTACACGTGAATGAGTTAGTCATAATTTTCATAAAAAGACAACTACCGGCCCAGCACGGTGGCCCACACCTATAATCCCAGCACTTTGGGAGACCAAGGTGGGCAGATCACAAAGGACCAGCCTGACCAACATGGTGAAACTCCACCTCTACTAAAAATACAAAAAAGTTAGCTGAGTGTGATGGTGCCCACCTGTAATCCCAGCTACTCAGGAGGTTAAGGCAGGAGAATGCTTGAACCCAGGAGGTGGAGGTTGCAGTGGGCCAGGATCGTGCCACTGCACTCCAGCCTCAGTGACAAAGTGAGACTCTATCTCAAAAAAAAAAAAAAAAAAAGACAACTCCCAAGAGCCAAGCCAGGATAACAAACAAATCTCCCCGGTCTTTACCTAACACTTCTTATACAAATGTTGGGCTATCCTACTGCTATGACAATGAAGTCATCAAAAAAAAATTTATTTCCTTTTGATAAATTTTAGGCTTCTGAGTTTAGTTAATAAATAACAAAAACCTCAGTGAGGTCCATATAGGTTGCAGACAGTATTCAAAAATAACAAACTTTTCCTAAATATCCTGTTAGAGTTGGCAGCACAGGGAAAAACAGAGTCTACTAATCTCCCCCTTCACTGGGGCTGATGCTAATAAAGTAATGACCAAAGTATAGTAATGTAAGAAAGGGCCACTATGGGACAGGATAATCTCATATGTTGAAAATGGATAATTTATTAATAGCTGTAACTCTAAAATATTAAAGAAAATAAGAAGAGACAAGGTGTTCTTCTAATCCACAGCACTATGGACTGAAGTTACTCCTATCTTACTCAGCTGTTACATTTTGATTTACTATGTAAGGTCAAATCCTCATATAGTAAAAAATATTCCTCAGCTCTTCTGGGTCACTGCACTAATCCAAGGAACAAACATTATTATTATTATTATTATTATCATTATTATTTTTAGAGACAGAGTCTTGTTCTGTCACCCAGACTAGAGTGCAGCAGTGCAATCTTGGCTCACTGCAACCTCTGCCCCACAGGGAACACACAACATTATATCCTCTCTGAATGGTGTCCCCTGGAGTTGTGCAATACTAAACCTGAATGGCCTTACCCAAAGGTCTTGTCCTTGAAAATCCCTTCATAAAATACAGCATACCTACGCTTGGCGTTAGGCAGCCCTGAATATAGATAAAACATATATAATATAGTCAGTAATACATAGGCTATAGAATATAGAATATAGGCTATACAACATAGAATGCATATATAAGACATAATGTTAGAATTTTATTTTTCCATCTATTCCCCTTTTAGGGCATATAGCAATTTTGCATAAGTTAACTGAATACGTAATATCCTACAAAGATATAAAAGGATGCTGCTGGCCAGCATCAACTGACATTAAACAGATAAAACACGTTCTCATATTTTGCTTCACAGCAATCAGCCATAATAGAGAGATGCTGCAAATTCCTCCGCAAAAATAATGAACAAAATACAAATATTTATATATATATATATATATATATAATTTTGAAGAGAAAGACACCATGTTGATTATTTTCTCATTTTCCTTCTTCACACATTCACCCCTGGCTCCCTTAAGGTATTCTGGTGAAGTTAAAATATTCCTGTAAAGGGACATGAAAAGAAGACCATAGAAAAGACCATCTCTTTTCCAAGCACTGTGTGGTCCAAGTTTGAATTCTGGCAACACTACCAAATCCCTCGAGAACAGTATCCTTCTCAAAACTCTATGCAAAAGCCTCCCCGTCATCCCTTTCCCAGATCCACTGAGGGCAACATGGTCTGACCTTTACCTGTAAAGCTACTGTTCATTTCAGGAACATCATCCTCTTCCTCATTCTCCGCATGGACTATGCCAGCATTTTGCATATCATTGTAGGACTTGGTTCTCTTCGGGGTCGACTGCTTAGAGCCAGACTGAAGGCTTTGCAAGGCATCCGTCGTGATCACTTTCCCACTGACTGGCTGGCTAGGAGGCTTGGGTGTCCCATAATAGTTTCCTAGGTGATGGAGAGACACATTTGCATGTTTCAAAAGGAATACTTTGTTTTTTTCAAGACTTCACATCCAAATCTCTAGGCACATTTTAAAAATTACACTAGAAAACCAGAACAAACTGTATTTTATTTCTGGAGTAGGTTAGAAAAGATGTCTTTCCTATCTAGCTAGACACAGTGATTTCAGAAGGGAAGAGGAAAGCTGTATTGTTTTAGTGCAAAGAACCTACTAGGGCTAAAAACAAAGGAGGCTATGCTGAGCAGTAAACATTCCTTCTCATTACATTTGAATATCAATTGGTCATCTTTTTATATATATGCACCAGCATAATGCTGAATCCAATTTAGAGCAAGCCTCGCAGAAGATAAAAAATTCATTACTGCCGGCATCCTTACAGGCCTAAAAAGTTGAGGTCACCTTCCCTTAATAAGGGGACTCGTCAAGAGGGAACCAGGGCAATATTTAAAAAGGAGGACAGTAAACCCCACGTGGCACCTCTTTAGCTGAATGGCAGGCTTGACTCTCTGGGTCAAGCAGAGTAGGAACAAACCCCTGCCAAGTCTTAACAGAAAACCCTGTGTCAATGGTGGCACCCACTATGGGTCGCTCTTCCAATAGTGGTCCATCTTTACTTTCAGCCACCCTTTCCCAGTTTGATATATATCCCACTGTAGTGTGCTATGTGATTCTCACTTGTACATAAATAGATTTTTACATTTTAATTTATTTCAGTGGATACATGTATTTTTAATTTGCAATAGAGAAATCTCACTGGTAAGGGATGACAGAAATATAAAGTTTGCCTTTAGAGTGTAAGAAAACAGCAGTACTTTAAAAAACTGACTCATTTTTCACTTGAAGTTTAAAACGACAGTTTTATATAGAAATTAATCAGCTGAATACATAATATTGATGGTAGTAAAAAGAGTTTCCTTTTGGGAAGTTAAAAAGCTATTTTTAAAGGTTATTTTAAAGATAATATTAAGTAATTTGTTCCCACATGAATGAAATCATAAAGGGTAGTTCATAAGATCAAAGTTTGAAAAACATAGTTGATAATCAATAATATTCAGAGGCTACATGATAAAAGACATCAACCTTAGAATGTCATCAATCCGTTTACCGCTTCACATCTTTTAGAGTAAGGCCAGGAAAATAGGAAATGATTTTGAGATCTTGAATCAATCCTAATTAAAGTTTGTAATTCTATGCTGAGTAAAGCAGAATTTGTAAATAATAATAAATCCTGTACAAACTGTTTCTTCCCAAGGATCCAACCCCACCGTCTTACCTCAGTACATAGTTACATAACATACACATTTTATTACATAAGCACCAACCACAAAAAAAAAAATAAAGGCAAAAGGAGACAGCTTAATAGCCTAGCCTTCATGAAACATACAGATAATAAAGAATTTGCTTCTACGTTGGGTATATTGGCTCATTCCTGTAACCCCAGCACATTGGGAGGCTGAGGTGGGCTGACCACTTGAGCTCAGTTCAAGACTAGCCTGGCCAACATGGTGAAATCCCGTCTCTAAAAAATGTACAAAAATTAGCTGGGCTTGGTGGCGCTCTCCTGTAGTTCCAGCTACTTGGGGGAGTAGGGGAGGAGGGGTGCTGAAGAGGCAAGGATTTCTTGAGCCCGGGAAGTTGAAGCTGCAGTGAGCAGAGATTGTGCCACTGCCCTCCAGCCTGGGTGACAGAGCTAGATCCTGTCTCAAAAAAAAAAAAAAGAAAGAAAGAAAGAAAGAAAGAAAGAAAGAAAGAAAGATTCTCTCAGGCTTTATTCTTATAAATAAGGTTTCCTTTTTAACAAAAAGGGTTTAATAATGTTTTTTAAAAACGTTTTTTGAATCATCATAATTTATAGAGATACACACCCACTTTTCTTTGAGATGAGTGTAATAGTCTGTATCAGCAGGAAAATTCAACATACAATTTTTCTTAAAATGCAGTACATGAAAGAGCACCATGTTCATATCTGAAGGGTGCCAGGTAGAAACCTGACACGCACATTCTGGTGGCTTATACTCGGCTTATACTTAACTTAATCATTCAAGTTTTTTCATAGGAAGTAGTCTATTTCTTCAAAAATCTTATTTTAGGTTTCCAACTTAAAGGCACTAGAATTGGGTAGAATCAGCTTGAAGAAAAGCATCCCACATGTGTCTTTTAGTGGCTAACACTTGAGCAAAGAAGAAATTAGCACGTGTCAACCAAGAAATGCACTTAATCTTGCATTTCTACAGAGGTTGTATCAAAGGGTTTCTCATGCCTTCATTGAAGGCGTAACTAGGCCAAACTATTAACTTTCTCATTAACTAAAGACTATTTAGTGAAGTTTAAGAAGGTACGATGGTTAACTGTTTTAAAAATAGTCTGCACAGTGATAAAAAAAAAAAAAAAAGAGAGAGAGAGAGACAAAGCTCCACTGCATTTTTCATTCCTTACAATCACTATTATATCAAGGCATCATGTACATTTTTCAGTTAGATGTTAAACTAAGGCTAATGTCTATAAATAAGAACCTTCCACTGAAAAAGGTGGAACCCTTCCCCCATAATTTTTATATGTATAATTTCCTAACCATATCACTCAGTTTCCATGCCATTAAACTGAAGTGTAGCATTCATAAAATTATTAATCATTTAAAATCAATTAAAACTTCAACATCTGCATTTATGGCAGAAATAATAAGTGCTTGGAAAATGAAAGTTCCACTTAAATTTGACAAATATGTGTGGATTTTCTATTAGGTACCTGCTCTCACTTTTCCAGTTGAAAGTCTTTCTTAAGTTAATAAATAATTAGCAGATTTGTCGGTGCAACTACATACGACCGAAAACAATCCACTTGTTCACAATGGTTTCCTATTTTGGGAAATTAGTTTAACATTGACTGGAGACAGAAAAAATAGATAATATTAGGTTGAACCATATGAAATTGCTGTTGTAGAAGATGTACTGTCACACATAAGCAATTTCACTTGCTTTAATCTAATGAGTGGCCATGAGCGATACTGCAGAGCCTTGGCACACCATATCATGGGGTAAAAGTCTTGGAAAAGATAGCTCAGAGTTGAAATCTCACTACGAACTAACTAGCTGTGTGACTCTGGGCAAATCTTTGTCCTCCTTTAACTTGGGATTCTAAGAGAACCTAGTTTACAGCTAGAACAGCTAGTTTACACCTAGAATAGGACAATAACTAGTTTACACCTAGAACTTGGTTAAAGACAAACCATCTCATTTTGTCCTATTCTAGGTCTAGATGGTCTGCCTTTAACTAACGCTAAAGTCTGCCACTATGGTGAAGATAGATAAATGCTACCTAACTATCGCATGTTTCCAATCTTTAAAATGACGCCCATACCATATTGTTTTGAGGATCAAAGAGATCATGTATACAAAGTGCCACACATGGTAACAGCAATAAGCAAGCAAACCTATCAATAACCAAATAGCCAAGTCTTCTACATTCAGTCTCTCTCATACTATCTCTGTGAAATGGGAATGGTAGCACCAACTGTGACAATTAGCTAATGCGGAGTTTTCAAAGGTACTCTGTAAACCATAGGTGTTAAATATAAAACAGTGTTATTATTATCCAAATCTCTCCACTATTTCTTGTTTTCCGTACTGAAACCTACAACATTTATAGAAAAGTTTCTGTCTAGTAGTTTTCTAACTATAGAGCGTTTAAACTTTCATACACCATTGTTTTAAAATAATTTGGATTAGTGACCAACCTTTAAAATTAGAAAGCTTCCAGTTGAAGTCTGGATTCTCACTGCTGCTTGACAAAGTGTAAAGTCTGCTTGCAGGGACTCCATCTCTTATAGAGGATGTTGAAAAGCAAGTATGCGTCTAAAACCAACTCACGTGAACATACTAACCAAGGATTTCTGCAGAGAAATTTTCGCTTCTCCTTTTGGTTTGCCTGACCCTTGGCAGACTAAGACCTTGTGCTCCACCTAGAACAGTGCCCTAAGGCTGCGGCAATGCAAGAGCATGGGCAGATACAGGGGCATGAGCAGAGGCATGAGTAGATAAGAAAACCTCAAACTTCAAAAAGTCCTCAATAATTCACAGATTAGCCTTTGAGTGAATTGTTTTTTGGAGAACCTGCTTTTGGCCCTGGGCTTTTGGACAAAAAACTCTGGGTGTCTTCTTTCAACCCCGGCTGTCTTATTCTGCTGTGAACTGTCCTTACCATGCAGCAATGGGCAGGATGGGTCACGCATGCTCCAGTTTGCCACATTCACCACTGATCTTCTTTGCCTCTATACAGCCTATTCACCCTCTTACTTGACTTGTCTGGCCCCTCAGGCATTTGAGTTCATGACTCCAACCTTCTAGAAAGCATTCATCCTTTGCAATAGTTTGCACTTTTGTCAAAATCAAGCAAAGTCTACCCATAGCAGAAACACAAACCTTACAAAGTCTAGCCATGTAGAAACACAAACCTTACAGACAGTATGAACCATGCAACAGAGACTCTGTGTGAAGAATATGTGGATGACTTTACGGTATTAAACTAAAAATCATCTGAAAAAGTACAAATGATTAAAAACTTAACTGGGGCTATCACTTGGCAGACTGCACAGTGTCTAGGAGCCGTGAGCATGATTGTCCCACAGGCTGTGCGTTATCCAACACGTTTCCTGCAGTGGCTGGGCTCCCTCCCAAGTGGAAACTTGTTCTCTCTGCTGCTATTTTCAGAACTAGTTCTACAACAAGACTCAACAAGGAGGGTGGCCGGGGGGAAAGCGGAGGGCAAAGGAGGACTTGAGAGGAAGGCACGGCTGGCCTTAATTAATAAGCACAATCCCTGGCCAGGACAAAGCCAAAGAAAATATTTTTCTGACACACATTTAAAAATTAATAGGCACTGCAAATCAATTTTTAGAGCTTTATAAAATATTTAAGGAGGATTGTGACCCTGGAATTTAAGCTAGGATGAATCAAATCTGTATGGCTTTCAACTTATACAAATTTAC